CATTTTGGATGCGCAACTCACATATAAGCAGCATATTTCGTATGTCGTTGATAAAGCTTCCAGAACACTAGGCTTTATCTTTAGAATAACCAAAAACTTTACTGATATTTATTGCCTGAAGTCATTGTACTCCTCACTGGTCCGATCAGTCCTTGAATATTGCTCAGCAGTTTGGAATCCAAGCTACAACAATGGTGTTGAAAGAGTCGAATCAGTCCAGCACCGATTCTTACGCTTCGCCCTTCGGCGATTGCCTTGGAGAGATCCTTTCCGTTTGCCTAGCTATGAAAGCCGATGTCAGCTGATTGGTTTGGAAACTCTTTCGACCCGAAGAGACGATGCAAGGGCTTTACTTGTTGCCGATACATTGCAAGGGAGAATCGATTGTCCTACTATCCTCGAAAAAATCGATTTGAATGTACGACCACGTGCACTAAGAAACAGTCTTATGCTGAGACTTCCCTTTCGTCGCACGAACTACGGAATGAATGGAGCAATAAACGGACTGCAGCGAGTTTTCAACAGAGTTGCCTCAGTGTTCGATTTTCACGTACCACGTCAGACGCTTCGCCGTAGTTTCACTTCGATATTTTCGGGCACAGGTAATCGTGAATAGCAGTGTAATGTTTAAGTTTTAAGCACAGACAATCATGTTGTTTTTTTGTATTACTTAACATCATTGGGGCTTATTGAAGCCTGTTGATGGAATCAATTAAATAAATAAATAAATACATATCGCATATTAGTTTATTGCGTGCTCTCAACTTAGTGTTCTAGATGCACTTCCACAATTATTAATTGAGAGCTTTCGATGTCTGTACCATTTTTGCATTGGTTAATTGTGTGGCAAGTCCAATCATACCCTTATGCCCAGGGAAGTTGAGAAATTTTCCAACCCGAAAAATTGCTAGACCGGACCGGGAGTCAAACCCAGCCACCTCCAGCATTGTCTTGCTTTGTAGCTGCGCCTTCACCGACTGAGCTAAGCTAGGCCCCGTAATCACCCATGCCTAAATTAACGGTTGAACACGAAAAAATACGGCCACTAAAATCTTGTTGGGGTTTAAAACTGCGTTTTATTTTTCATAGTTCAAGGTAACAGCTATACATTAGTAGGTATTATGCTAACCGTAAGACCATTGTTACAGTCTTTCTTCTTACCATAGGCCATTTCTCGATCTTTTCTTCGTACACGGTCCATCATCTTTCCTACTTGTTTGGCTACCAAGTTCCATTTCCGCATGAAATCCTTCAGGTCAATAGCAGTTCCACCCTTTTCCTTCAGTATGTGCTTCACAATTGACCAGTATTCCTCAATTGGCCTTAGTTCCGGAGTATTGGCCGGAATCATCTCCATGGGAACCACTGTGACGCCATTTTCGCTGTATCACTGTTTGGTGGAATTTGAGTAGTGGCAGCTTACCAAGTCCGGCCAGAATAGGCAATCCACCTCATGCTGTTCCAGAAAAGGTAGCAGTCTCTTCCGTAGGCACTCCTCCTGGTAAATTTGCTGGTTTATGGTCCCAGAAGTAACGAAAGTTTAGATTTTCAGCCCTCAACTGTGTGCAACTTACCTTGTGAAGAGCTGGTCCGAAAGTGAGTGGAGAGTTGCCCGTGTGTGTTTATAAAGCGTTGCCATAGATACCTCTGTTTATCAGCATTGAACTGCTGCGCTTACAACGGAGGGCTGCACACATGGCTTGCTGATTAGTTAAGCGTCAAGTTAAGACCTGCTTACACTAGCGCTAATATATGCCACACATGTCCCTCTCTCCTCATAAAAAAAAGAATTTTACCCGGTTTTCCTTTTCAACCGTGAATGCACCATTGCTCTGACATCATTATCATCATCATGAAGATCAATGGGAGCGCTGGTAGGGAGCTTAGGAATCTCTCGTTCGAAAATCGAAATGGATGATTTTTCAATTAATCTCATAGTTGCTCGGAGAAAAACTGACCCGATTGGATTTTGGGACTTCTGCGGCGCAATGTGGGGTGTTTGCCGTATAACAAAATGTTGGTAGACTGTGTACTGGTGAACTGAAGCCGTTGTGTCACGAAAATGAAAAGTGGACGCAGGCCTTGTTTTCTCTGCTGAGATCCCTCTAGTTGGAGCAGCTAGAGTGTGTTTCGTGGTTGATGGGGGTTTACGCTGCTATGAGGAACGAAAGGCGAGAGTGCTGTTTTTAACACCCGTTGAAGATATAGTGGCAGCATATCTATGGAGCTCTTAGAAATCTTTGTGATTAACGTGATATCATGGATTTCTTGGTAACATACCGGGTGATATCATTCCTTTATTTTTTTCTTAACTTTCATTCCAGTATTATATGAAACATTAAATGTTGTGGACAGGACGGACCACCAGGGCACCCGATTGACGCGAAATGGATGGGGAGAGTCGAAATGCCAACTCACTGTCGTTTACATTTCGTGAAAAGAAGGTGGGCTCTTCTCCCCCACTCATTGGAACATCCTCCTGTTGGATGGCCTGTTTTTTGACCGGTTGTATGATCCTGTTGTTGGAAGGAGATTCTCATTTATTCCGTGGATGCAAGTGGGCGATGTTGCTCACGGATTCACCCAAACCGTTTTTGGCCCTTCATACAATGGCAGGTTGAATACAATTAGAAGCTTCGGCATTCTTCAGCTGCTAGATGGACAAAGGCAGTGCAACGCGGCTGCTTTTCAACTTCGTCAGCTGACCAGCTTCACGGCGGATCTTCTGCGAGGACACCGGTGTGGAGAACATTAAGTTGGCCAGATGGTCGTTTACCAGCATTTTGTCGTTGGATAGCGAACGGACCTTCAGGGTGCCCTTGATGGGGGAGATTGCCTTCTGTTTTTTTTTGAGTGCTACTGTACATGACGTCGATTTCCTGTGTCAAACGGTCATGTTGGTGCATCCGTACTGATATGCATTAGATAATGCTGGTAAAATGTAAAGTATGCGTTATTTTTTGTTTTGTGATAGGGATCGTGGCGTCATTTTCAAGCAATTGAGGTCAATTGTTTTTTTTTTTTGCAAAAGCGTCGCTTTGAAACGATTAAGGCTTTTTATTTTATTTTATGGCGTCGTTTTGAAACGATTGAGGCATATTTAGCATTTTTTTAGGCATTGGCATCGTTTTGAAACGATTTAGGCAGATTTTGCGTTTTCTGTAATGGCGTCGTTTTGAAACGATGGCATCGCAATGGCATCGTCTGGAGACGAATAAGGCAGATTTGGCGTCGTTTATAAACGAATCAACCGGATCTAGCAGTATCCATTATTTTTTTTGCGGTGCGTGAAGGCTACGGTTATTCTAAACCGATTGATATTAGCGTGGCCTCTTTATGATAGAAAACCAAATGAGCTTATGGAAGATTCCATATGGCTTAGTTAAATCTGGCAGGATCGCGAATGTGCAACTTACCTTGTGAAGAGCTGGTCCGAAAGTGAGTGGAGAGTTGCCCGTGTTTGTTTATGAAGCGTTGCCATAGATACCTCTGTTTACCAGCATTGAACCATAGAGGTAACTCTAAGACTAGAAGGTCCCGAAATAACGTGGTCAACTTTTTGGCTCAGCTCTGGTACTATCTTCGGTCCCAAGCTAATCGATTCACCCCTCGAAACATAGCAAAATCCACTAACCCCTCATTTTATCTGTCAAACTTCTATAGCGAATCAAAACAAACATAGTGTAGTACTAGAATTTCGACTAGAATGCGGTACGTTAATCGTTTGCTTGGGACCAATAGGCTAGTCAAGTAGTGAGCCAATTTAAAATCGTTAGTTTCGTATTGATTGTTGATTGAACTGCTGCGCTTACAACGGAGGGCTGCACACATGGCTTGCTGACTAGTTAAGCGTCAAGTTAAGACCTGCTTACACTAGCGCTAATACATGCCCCACAAACTGCAGATTGCTTGCTTTTTTTCATTTTACATTCTTCCGGGGTACTCTTCCGGTTAACCGAGGTATGAAATTCCTGCCCAAGAATTTGATCGAAATCTGCCAGGAGCGGATAGACTGGGATTTTCGTTTCGAGCGTGCAGGATTGAATCGATACGTGTTTGCTCCAGTGAAGCAATGATGTAAACAAATGAACTTATCCTGACAACCAATGCCTACTGTGATTCTTTACACTCTTAGCTTGATTCAGTTCAATTTACTTTGATGCATTTTCGAAAAATTCAAATGCAGATTGTTCCAAGCATCATTTCAGATTGCAAAAAGCTCGCGTCATTTTGTGTGAAATAGTAAAAAGAATAGAATGACGCAAGTATTTTTTTCAATCTGAAATGATGGGTCGAAAAAAACTGCATTTGAATGTTTCGAAAATAGCACCGTTTTAAATATGTCCGGATTTTTTCGTGAAAAACATTGCGACTACTTAGCTCAAATAACTGAGGAAATTCTTGAAAGAACTCTAGGTTTAGAGTAGGATTACGATCATGCCAGAATGTCAAAGCCAGTAAGAAGAAAGAGAACATTGTTTTCTTGTTTGTAAATCCAGCAGAAAATTAATTATTTGGCTTCAACCAACTCATTTCAATCAATGTATAAACCACTCGGTAAATTTCCAACAACTTCTCGGATCATTCCATGTCTAAGGCATCAATTACTCGTGAGCATTGAAAAAAAAAGGAATCCCATTGTTACCGGCTATTTAACTTCAACCCGAAAGTAAGCAAACATCTTTCGCGGTTTGCCGCGGCCTATCCGTATCCTGCTCGCTTCCGATTCCGTGAGAACGCTTTAATTCTACCCCCTCAGGCGATCATCCTAAAGAAGATGCTCTCTGCTGCCACTGCCGCCGTCGATGTGTACAACAAGATACCAAATGGACCAAACGGTGGGTTGGGTTGCAGATTTCTTCAGGCATGAAATTCACCCCTTTCGGTTGCAACACTCCGATGGTCAGCTGTGCGATGATTCTTCGGCTACCGGTGTCGTCGTCGGTTTGAATGACGAAGAAGGAAATTATGTTTGTCATCAGATTCGTTTTCAAGCTGGGTTTTTCGTTTTAACATTTATTAGATGATTTTTTTAGTCGCTTAACTTAGCTCTAAAACTAGTCTAAAATTGTACAAAAGTTGTCTTTGTAACAAAAATACTATTCAAACAACATTTTCGTGTGATAAAAAGACTTTTCCGGTTGATAAAAACGTAATCTAAAATGTGTACATAAACATCAGCTGGACGGTTTACATTTCTACATACCTTATTCTTATTGCTAAATTGTTGGAGATTCGCTAGAGATGCAGAATTTCAGTATATTAGACAATTTCTTGGACGGAATGTGAGTTGAACACCATTTCCCTTACGCTAATTGGAATGATTTACATAATGTTTCGTTAAAAATGGAAATGCACATGTCGGTAGTCACCTCAACCACGCTTTTTGACGATGGATAAATTGTAAACAGCAGACGTCAATCTAGAGTAAAGTACGATAAGGTTTAATCATGGCCAACTGTCTGCTCCCCATCTACCGGCTCCACCGTCGGAAGACCATCCAGCTGAGCAGCAACAGCGCGCTCAAGATGGTGAACTCGACACGCAGGGCGGCCGCTCCGGCCAATCGGCATTTGAACGTATCGTAGCGACTCTTTTCGTCGTTGACAATGTTGAGGAACTCTGCCTCGACCAGCTGCCCATCGAAGTAGGTGATCGGATCCTCGTACGGGTACTCGAAGCCTTGCAGACACTCGCATTTGTAGCCACCGAGTTCGAACTCACGGCCCTGGATCGGAACGCACTGCGGGAGGAGAGAGGCAAGAGAACGATTACAAGGGGTTTAACAATCCGTCTCGATATAATCATTTACGACTGAGAGTGCATTTCCTATTTAGGGGTGGCGAGAGTGATGTGTGTTGGGCAAGGTCAATGTCCTCCGCGCGCGTCATAGAAGCCATGCGAGGCGTTACATTCTCTGTGACGGCAGTGTTGAAATGTCTCAGCTCTGGTAACTGAATGTGCACTGCTCGGGAAGTCAACCTATTCCTTCCAACACTTCCGTCGCCACAGAGAAAAGCGAGCTTCGCAACAGCAGCACCAAGAGCAGGCTTGGTTGTTTGTTTTGCGTGTGAGATGCATCTTACTCCCGTTGTCTTTGTCGCTAGGGAAAAGTAGGCCTTGCGAAAAACAATCCTTTTACGTTGCATACCTACTCCTTTCTGCGCCTGGCTTACTACGATGACGCGAGCAGAGGGGAACAAGAACAAAAGATCGCATTCGCAAACAACGACGGCGACCACGGCACGGAAGAACAAAAGGCCGTCGACGTCTACCGGAGTTTTTTGTTTTGTTATGCTCGTTCCTTTTTCCTACCAAGCTGTAATGTAATGCAACACATGAAAATACTCACGTATGAAGTCCTTTCGTCGCATTTGTGGGTATTTTTGAATGCATTCGGTACGTAATAGTCATCCGGACACTGGTTGATATCCAGCTGTAGCGCATTCATCGAGACTGCAACGACTCCCCTGTTTTGATTTTATTTTTCGTTCGTTGCGCCGGACGCAAGGCAAGAAGAGAAGGTGAGAAAAAAGTGCATTCAATTAAACGGGTTTCCATTCCGGCGTCATGCGTCTCAATAGACGAGACGACGACGACGATCACATGAATTGCAATAAAAAGGAAATGCAACCGCCAACTGTGGCTCTCATACTTACTTGAACTCGAGTTTCACCTTCAGACTGTCAAATCCGAAGAAGGGTGCCGCGTAGGTTATAAGCCACTTCTTCACGTAGCCCTTGCACTCGAACTTGGGAGCCGTCCAGAAGCCATGGTCCACCGTAGCCGCGTGGTAGAAGTTCGGATAATGCTCATACTTCTGCGAGTGCTCCCCAGTCTCGTTGTGGCGGATTCTCATCTTCATGTAGTACTTCTCCAGCGAATCAAAGTTTGCGGCCCACCTCTGCTTCAGTAGCTTAAAGTACGGCAGCTCGGTATAGTCCTCTCCGGTTTTGTTAATCCTCGCCACGTCTTCCAGCTTAAACTTCCTGGAATTCTTCTGCGTTTTGTACGCATACGGAGCAAACAACGTCCGATTCGTAAACTTGCTCCTTTCCCAGTACGTCGCAGCCGTCCAGATCCTGGAATTTCCCATCACCAGCGATAGCGTTTCACCCATCATCTGATCCTCGGTCAGCGGTTTATCGGCCACTCGCTTCCCGGAGTACACCTCCAGCGGATCGGAAATCTGCAGGAACGCACTGATGAAGTTCGCCAATCGCAGCGCCATCTTGGCTTCATTCGCAAACTGTTCCTTCGCTCCGAAAGCAATGTCCCCGTTCAACACCAAATCCTGCGGGTGGAAGTTCTTGCACGTATTCTCCGTAACTCCGAGGATAAAGTTCAGCACCTCATTCACGTTAAGCTTCTCCGCGTGCAACGACGTCGCACCCTTCGTATAGTTAATGTACTCATAGTAGTGATTCAGGTACTTATCACGAGTGTATTGCGGCAGTCGGTACCAATCGATGGGCGTCTTGTGAATCCAACCAATCCGTTTGCAATCGAACCCATTGTAGTACTGTTCATCCGATGCCCGTTCCATAATTTCGCCCAGGAACGGCCGACGGACCACCGATGGTAACCGGAACCCAGGTCTACAGCGACATTGATATCCTCCCCGCCGAAATCCCCAACCATCAAGCGGTTCACATTCGGTGGTTTCCTTCTTGCAGCGAGCCGTGTCGGCAAACTTGTTCTTGCCCGAGTTGCCCGCACCCTTCGGGCATTGGTTGATGTCGATCCGCTCAAAGTCCATTTCGACGACCGAGACGGCGGTGTATCTGAAAGTGGGCGGGAGAAAAGGGGATCATTAGGAACTTTGAAACCACAAGATGGTTATAACATTTAACAAGAATCTCGACTGGGAAACAGCAAGAGTCTGGGGGATTCTACAGGAAAACCGACTGAAGATTTCACATTAATGGCATTATGATATTCTAATGTAATCTTGTTTTGGATTCTACAACAGAACCGTTTGGAATTCTACAATAATTTTTACTCGAATTTTACAAGTATTTTGGGATGAATTTTGAAGAAATCTCTTAAGATCCACCGGTGCAAGAATCCTGGTATGTCACAATAATCCTGATGTGAGAATATTTCATAATTTTGCAGGGGAATCTATATGAATCACAAATTTAGTTGTACCAGAAAACCGTTTTGAATTTGCATGTATCTTCAAGAACCCCGACTAAGATTCTACAAGAATCCCGACTGGGATTCTACAAGAGTCCCGACTGGGATTCTACAAGAATCTCGACTGGGATTCTACAAGAATCCCGACTGGGATTCTACAAGAATCCCGACTGGGATTCTACAAGAATCCCGACTGGGATTCTACAATAATCCCGACTGGGATTCTACAATAATCCCGACTGGGATTCTACAATAATCTCGACTGGGATTCTACAAGAATCCCGACTGGGATTCTACAATAATCCCGACTGGGATTCTACAAGAATCCTGACTGGGATTCTACAAGAATCCCGACTGGGATTCTACAAGAATCCCGACTGGGATTCTACAAGAATCCCGACTGGGATTCTACAAGAATCCCGACTGGGATTCTACAAGAATCCCGACTGGGATTCTACAAGAATCCCGACTGGGATTCTACAAGAATCCCGACTGGGATTCTACAAGAATCCTGACTGGGATTCTACAAGAATCCCGACTGGGATTCTACAAGAATCCCGACTGGGATTCTACAAGAATCCCGACTGGGATTCTACAAGAATCCCGACTGGGATTCTACAAGAATCCCGACTGGGATTCTACAAGAATCCCGACTGGGATTCTACAAGAATCCCGACTGTGATTCTACAAGAATCCCGACTGGGATTCTACAAGAATCCCGACTGGGATTCTACAAGAATCCCGACTGGGATTCTACAAGAATCCCGACTGGGATTCTACAAGAATCCCGACTGGGATTCTACAAGAATCCCGACTGGGATTCTACAAGAATCCCGACTGGGATTCTACAAGAATCCCGACTGGGATTCTACAAGAATCCCGACTGGGATTCTACAAGAATCCCGACTGGGATTCTACAAGAATCCCGACTGGGATTCTACAAGAATCCCGACTGGGATTCTACAAGAATCCCGACTGGGATTCTACAAGAATCCCGACTGGGATTCTACAAGAATCCCGACTGGGATTCTACAAGAATCCCGACTGGGATTCTACAAGAATCCCGACTGGGATTCTACAAGAATCCCGACTGGGATTCTACAAGAATCCCGACTGGGATTCTACAAGAATCCCGACTGGGATTCTACAAGAATCCCGACTGGGATTCTACAAGAATCCCGACTGGGATTCTACAAGAATCCCGACTGGGATTCTACAAGAATCCCGACTGGGATTCTACAAGAATCCCGACTGGGATTCTACAAGAATCCCGACTGGGATTCTACAAGAATCCCGACTGGGATGCTACAAGAATCCCGACTGGGATTCTACAAGAATCCAAACTGGGATTCTATAAGAACCCCGACTGGGATTGTACAAGAATCCCGACTAGGATTCTACAAGAATCCCGACTAGGATTCTACAAGAATCCCGATTGGGATTCTACAAGAATCCCGACTAGGATTCTACCAGAATCCCGATTGGGATTCTACAAGAATTCCACCTGATGTTGAACGGAAATGTCTCTTGGAATTCTTGAAGATCCCCTGGATTTCCACGAGTTTTACGATTCTTTCACCTAGCAGGCTGTGACCAGGGCATAGTGGGAACTCTAACAAGTGAGAATTCCTTCTCGATTCTCGCAAAAATTCCACCCAGAGGCTGCGAAAAATCCATTTGATATTCTACAATAATTACACCAAGCTTGCTACCAAACTGACGAGCGATTTGCTGGCTCTCAACTTAGTGATCTAGATGAACTTCCTCAGTTATTACTTGAGAGCAATGCATGAATTTGTATATTGTGTGGCAAGCACAATGATACCATAGAGGTAACTCCAAGGCCAGAAGGTCCTGAAGAAACGTGCTTAACTTTTTGGCTCAGCTCTGATACTCTCTTCGGTCCCAAGCTAATCGATGAACCCCTCGAAACATAGGAAAATCCACGAACCCCTCATTTTATCTGTCAAACTTTCATAGAGAATCAAAACAAACATAGTGTAGTAGTAGAATTTCAACTAGAATGGGGTACGTTAATCGATTTGCTTGGGACCAATAGGCTAGTCAAGTAGTGAGCCAATTCAAATCGATAGTTTCGTATTGATTGTTGATGATACTCTATACCTAGGGAAATCGAAAAAAATTCCATCCCGAAAGATTTCCTCGACCGGACCGGAAATCGGATCCTCCTGCCGTACCTTTTCTGACTAGGCTATTTGCGGTCTCCAGCTGGAACCGGACATATCGCATCCAAATCCGCCATCTTGGACTCCAAAAAGGCTTTGGATTACAACTGTTTCTAAAATGTTAAAATACAGTGCCTCCAACCTTTTTGACAACACGATTTCATCAGTTAGTTTATCCCCAATTTTAAAACCAGTACTTTTTGGATCAAGTTTAATACACAACCAGCCACCTTTAATCCCTAAAAAACGGTCAAGTAATGTCATTAATTTAATTTAATTTTGTTGATTTAATATATAGCAAAGGAGACACAAAAACACATGTAGCCAAACCCTGGAACATACTGTAATGCATTTTAAACCCAAAATCCGCCATTTTTAACCAAATTCGCCATCTTGTAAATTAACGAATAATCGACGGATAATCGGTCCTTACCCTATCCCGATACACAACCACAAATAAACCAGACTAACCAGAACAAATCAACCGCACTTACTTCGGATACTCGATGTGCCGGAACTGCGTGTGCCGCGGGTAGATATCGGCAATCGGAACCACCGCTGCCACCAGCCATTTGTTCGATCGTCCACAGTCAAAGTACGGCCGGGTGAACTTGACCGGGCCGGGATCTTCATCGGCTCCGGGTGGTCCGTGGAAGGTGAACGTCTCGTTGGTATTATTAGCATATCGGATCTCGACCTGGTAGGTCGTTTTGGTATCGTGCCGGTTTTCCACGACATCCGGAAGCCATGCTTTGTACCAATCGTTGACCTTATAGAAATCGGTGGTGTAGTCGTGCGAGATCGAATCCGGCGAAAAGGAACCCAAATCCCGGACGTCGAAGGTGTTCATGGTGGAGATCTTGTGCAGGTGGATGGGATCGTTGAAGTCGTCCAGGCGGAACGTTCGGGGGGCGAACCGTGGGAAGGTCTTGTTGAAAAATCCTCGATAGGACGAAGAGAACGACGTATTCGGTGAGAAGTACACGGCTGAAGCGTTGATTGACGGATTGGCGGACACGTCCGCTACTGTCGACAGGAAGTAGTACATCATTCCCGGATCGTAGGTATCGTTGATGGCCGGACGGATGAAGCGACTCTGCAGGATGTAGCTCCAGTAGAATCCTCTGGTCAGCGCCATATTGTGCAGCAACAGCAGAGCCGTCCGATTGGGAAAGATTGGATTCTGATCGAATTCCTTAATGTCCGGCAGATGGGACAAGGTATTATCCGGCAGGAACAAATCAGCGATATGTAGAATCGGGCAGTTATCGCCCGTGGCACGATCAAACTTCACTTTGATTTCATCGAAGGCATCCTTCGGTTGCCATTCGTACTGTGCTAACACACCCACAAAAATTGCAAACGCTATCAGAGCGCAGCAGCGCCACAGAATCGTCATTTTTTCTGGCTAGGAACACTCCCGACACGAAGCACTATCGACTTTCACTGATTTCGATGGGAAATTAACTTAAATTTGTGGCATTTTCCGCTCGGAAAATACGCAAGGCACTTGTTTCCTACTAGATGACCAACTTGGCTACGCCCGAAATGAATATGGCTGGCAGAGACGGCGGAATGTTTATTTGTTAATCACCGTCATCGTCGGGCAGTCTTAAGTCATTTACTATAAGGGACTGGCTGAACCCCAAACTACCCGCACTAGCCCGCACACACACAGACATGCACACGCACTGTCGAGGCGTTTGACTTAACTGCACGAATTCATTCATGCTATGGGACAACTGTGGGTCTTCTGCGAGCAGGTACTTGATTTTACATTTTGCTTTGCGGAATGGAAACTGTAATCGGATTTTATGGTTGCTAATTGCAAAAACCGCTTTTTTTTAGCCACTACACGGTAACCGCAAAATACTTAATAATGACTATAAAAGACTCGATATTGACTACAAAGTAAGCATTTTCGAGGGAGACTGGGACTACCCATTAGTATGTCTGCAGATTTTTTTTTTATTATTTTCAGAGCCTACTATAGACGAGTGCACGGATGGATTTGAGTTCACTCACTCGAAAAAAAGTGACACAACAGCGGGGCCCTGTTTAATAAAAATGAACACATGAATAATACTCACGTAACATTTGAAACCGGCCTATCGACTTTTGTAAATAATTTGCTAGGTCCTTTTCACGAGAACCGAAGTACGTCCACGTAAACCAAGAGCACTATCGGGAAGGGGAGAATTTCCCCAACCCGATGGTGCTATTAGTTTGCGTGGAAGTATTCGGTTCGCGCGAAAAAGGCTTAACAAGTTTTGTGTACAAAAGTTGATATGCCCGTTTCAAATGTTACGCGAGCATTATTCATGCGTTCATTTTTGGTAAACAAGGCCCCGCTGTTGTGTCACTTTTTGTCGAGTGAGTGAACTCAAATCCATCCGTGCACTCGTCTATGAGCTTGTATAAATATAATTTCACAGTACACGCTAACTTGAAAGTACCCATTAATGGTTGAAAAAGACCCATTTTGAAGAAAAGTGGCTTAACTCATTAAATGAGTAAATTTTTTACCTATTAATGAGTATCTGTTACCCATTAATGAGTAATTGTGAATCATTAATGGGTAACAGATACTCATTAATGGGTAAAATTGTTTCATCATTAATGAGTTAAGCCACTATTCTTCAAAATGGGTCTTTTTTTACTCATTAATGAGTACTCTCAAGTTAGCGTGTACGCAACATGAAAACACATTTGATTGCAATGCATACAAATCAGTGCCAACATTTCAAAGGGGCGTAATGGCTTTTGTAAACAATGGCTTTAGCTATCGATTTCTCGCAAATAAAAGTCCATCCCTCCAAAATTAACAATGCTAGAGCTGGTAGAGGAAACATTCATCTACCTGCTTGCGTCATTAATCTACATGAGTACGTTGTAATTCACGAGAAATCGACGGCTTAAGTCATTGCTTACAAATTCAATTACGCCCCTTTGACGTTGATTGTTCTCCAACGTGTTCTAAATTAAATATTTTCTACTTAACTTATAGCGAATTTGTTTATTATTCAGTTCCAACCTGGATCGGGTATCAAGATTGGGTCTGCTTGTTTTCTGACAAACGTCAGTTGGATCGTTTGTTTTTAAAACCCAGCTCAGGTTGAGGTTCGCACTGGCAAACAGTTCGGTTTCGCACTGGGTTGGAACTGGTTCCAACCCCGATAATAAACGAATTCGCTATTAAATATTCACCCACTCATCATCAACCTGTCCCACAGTTCAAATTCCAACATATTCATGCAATTCGATCAGTTTCAAACTATTCAGTTTGACGTTTCACTCCCACACGAAGAGCGTCCATTCAACAAAAGCGTTCGTGTATTCGCCTTTGATGATGGGTAAAACTCAAACTGCCGATCTGCGATGATGGTGAGTCAGATACCTATACACCTATAATAATACAACAGTGAACCGTTCATTATTCTAGGCCGCGCGCATGGTGCGGTCGTTCGGTGCTCTGTTGATGAATATGCTACATATTACTTTTGCTCTGTTTTGTTTTGAGCCGGTTGCTTGGGTTCCTACCTGAACCTGATACCATGGCTACTAGCCGATGAACTCAACGCCATCGATATTGTAGGTTATGCACAAGGTTGCAAATACTCATTTCAGATAAAAAAAATGTTTTTTTTAAATTATGAAATCATTAGGGAGGGTGAGCCAGTAGTTTATTTATTAAACAATAAATATACGATGTACACACAATCGTTATACGTCAATGTATAGCAGCTTTTGTAATATTATTATATACAATTTTAGAAAACTCGTCCTCCATTAATAGGAACACTGCTCCAGTAGTTGTGGTAGTTGCTAACTTAGGTTCCTATAATAGTGGAATGCGTTGGTTTCTTATGGGTTCCACTATTGTAGGAACACTACCGCAACTATAGGTGCAAAGGACTGAAAAGCTTAAAGAAAATTAATTTTTTTTCCCGCACTTTTGGGCATATTTTAAGATTGAAATATGCAAATATGCTTTATTGTAGGAGAGCTACCGATGAAAAATAATCTTATCCGGGTCCTCCTCACTATTCCGACACAACCTCCATACCGCAACTATAGGTACACCACTATTATTGGAACAACTACCCTACCTGTTCTGATAATATTTTTTCATTCGTAATGCGTAAGTATGCGTTTGACACATAAAACCTGTTAAGTTCATTTCTTGAGATTTGCAATCTGCGATTTTATCAATTATCGCTCACTCAGCGATCATAAAACCGCTGATTGTGATTCTTCGAATTCGAGATAGGTGTATTATCTTCGATGGAGCTTACAGCCATTACAAAGCAATAATTAGGTTTTATGTGACAAACATATACTTTGCAACCTCATCTTGTAACTCATGGGACATCGACAAATTATGTATGATAATAGGGGTGGTAGGAAAGTCCATACATTTGTTACAGTTTCATACAATGGGAAGAGGGAGGTTGACAATTTCTTAATAAAATTTAATTAGATTTTATTTTTAAGGCTTTCTCAGTCTGGGGTAATCCAAACGGTCAGTTATGCATTGCCCGACGTTTGTGGCTTTTTTCAAGGATAAAACTGTTTAACGTTTGCAGTTAAATTGTTGCCACGATAAGCGTGTGGCAAATATCAAATCTGTAAGTATCAACTTTGTAGAAGATTTTCTTCTTCTGACGCTTCAATTTCAGACCCTAAATGCATATTTTCTGCTAAATTCCCATCCTGAATCACTGTGCAGTGTCTTACAAGTAAAACGTGTTATCATAACATCGTTTGATATAATTATTCCGAAAATCATGTTTCTATGCGAAACGAGCATTTGCAACCTTGGTTATGAATGAACTGGCTTTCCTTCAACAAGTGGTTTCGCTACTAATATAAGAACAAAGAAGAGAACGATATTGAACTGAGCTGCGTTCATGGTGGTATGAAAACGATGCTGTCTGTTTGAATGTGCACATGTCACGCTGCGAGAAATGTGCTGGCAGAAGGCAGTTGAAGATAAAGCTACAGCAAACGATGGGGCTGATCTTCGATTCATTTTACAGGTATACCTCGATGTAACGCAACTATCACTTTTGATTTCCATTCTCAATATCTCGCAAATAAAAAACTAATCAAACAAATCAACATTGCTAATAGATGGGGGATTAGGGTTGATTAACCGGCTTTACAATACCGAAACACCGATTTTTGTACGATAAAAACCGGTATTTTCGATAATATTATTTACAAACGATGACTCTGGAGTATTTTTCAAGACATTGCGGTCTACTTTGATAAACCATTCGATTGCAATTCTTCGTCGTTTGATTGATTTGGAAGACAACGGAGTGGAGCTGAATAGACTGGATGATACAGCTGATGTAGAGAACGATGGTTTGACCGATAAGCCACAAAAGGGCTCTGGCCCGATGAACTTATGAGAAGATCCGAGTCTTGACAGTGCATCAGCTCTTTCATTTCCCTCAATGACCAGGAACCCAATATAAGTTGACTTGATTTTGACAAGACAGTTTTTGAAGTGATTGAACACACTCCCAGACAAGTTTTGGTGTACATGTCACCGACTTTACAGCAGTTAGAGCAGCTTGACTGTCGGACATGATGCATAGATTTGAATTCTTATAGTTTCTAAGCAAACATGTAATGGAACACTCTAAAATTGCTTGGATTTCAGCTTGGAACACAGTTGCCCATCTGCCCATAGGAACTGATATTTCTATCCCTGGGCCAGTTACTCCTGCTCCCACTTGATTGTTCAATCTTGAACCATCTGTATAAAAAACAATCGATCCTGGACGAAGAACCGGGCCACCAAATTACCATGAATTACGCCCAGGGTCAACTACTTGAAAAAGTCGATTGAAATTGTTTCTTTTCTCCATCCAGTCTTCGTTGTTCCTTACTAGCGAGTTGATACTAACAGTTTTTAGAATCCTACACACTTAGATTTTTTGCCGAGATGGGCACCACCGAGCAGCTCGGCATTTTATTTTGCTGGAAATTCAGCAAAAAATATGTTTGTTAGCTGAGATCTCGGCAAAATTCCCGTTTGTTAGCTGAATCTCGGCAAGTTTTCACTGAGATCCAGCAAAATAAAATGCCGAGCTGCTCGGTGGTGCCCATCTCGGCGAAAAAATCTAAGTGTGTAGGATTCTAAAAACTGTAGTGTGTAAGATGTTCTCTAAGGTCTCCTTCAAAGAGTTTCACTGACCTTATAATCTTTAGAACACACTTTTCGGCTTCTAATTTTACAAATTGATGCAAATTGGTAGCATGTAAAGCAAAGCATCCAATGCCTTCGATGGTGTACTGTTATTGAGAGAGTTGCTAACCTTTGGAGTTTTTCTAACTTTCTCTGAGCAACACTCTCTTTTGTTTTTAGCCACCAGACCATGCACCAGAAGTAATCTTGGGTTTCCCAATTGCCAATCAAATCAAATGGATCATTTTCGGTTTCAGTCCCCACTGTTTACCGAATGTTCTTTTGCATATCCATAGAGCATTAGTAGCTTTGTTTATTGCTTGCTCTAGATGCATATTCCAATTAAGTTTACTATTAAGGATAACTCCAAGATATTTAACACATTAGAAAGTACGTCCTACTTACTTCGTCAG